TGAATATTCAAGGAAATAGAAATCGGGCAAGCAAAGTGTGGTTTCACGTGGGGAGTGAGGGGTCTGAGTCATTAACTGACCTTGAGTGAAGTGTCGTTGATGCCGACCGGCTCACCCAAGAAAGCCAAGCCGAATCTTGAACGCCAACCACGCTCCAAAATGTTTTGAATAGAAAATCACAAGCGTCGTGAACCTCAACAATTATTGAGAGGTCCTTGCTTGCTCCGGCAAGTCCGACAAGTGATGAGTGGCACCCCTGGTTCCAAATTGGTCCCGCCGGGCCCAATGTAATGACGGTTGCCAACGCACTTCAAGATAGATCCCTCGACGCCGAGGTGTCGGAGGTCCAATCAATAGGGCCGTCGATGCGGCGTAGTCCCAAATGGTCCCAATGGTGCCAAGGACTAGTACCAAGGGTTCCACCACGCCAAATTGTCAAGGACTCGCGCCGTTCTTGCTACAAAAAAAATCCCTTGCTTCGTACCGCCACAAGTTTGCACCGGCGTCCGCCTTGAGCATGTGCCGCAGTCGGTACCTCCCTCGGACCGCGATAACACGCTTGGAGTTCCACACCAAGTTTATTGGTGCTACCGCCGTGAACCGCCAATCAAGCGGGTGGGTGGTACCGTCGCCTTGTCGCAACGCAACCCGAGACCCTTGCTTCCAAAATAAAAGGCACCGCCGTGGTGTTAAAAACCAGGTCCAACGGCGGCCCCACGACAATCTCACAAAATTATCTTGACGCCTTCGTACGAGAAGGTCGGCAAAGCTCCTCCGCATGCGGATGTAGCCTTGCCACTTCATTATTCCGATAGCACGCTCCCTTACGTCGGCCGCGTCCAAGCTCAAAATAATAAAACCCGGCCCTTGGCTGAAGCTAAGTCCAAAATGCCGCTCCCTTGAGTCTTGGAGGTGAACTCCCGTTCCAATGGAATGGTCCCTAGCACATGTGTCGTAGGTCCGGTACCAACCCAAGGTGTCGGCAAGGTGCCTCCACCTTGTGGCTATGGTGGCTCCTCCTTCTCCTCTTGGCTCCAACAGCTCCTCTAGTAGACTCCCATCAGCACTCCCGAAGCACTCCCGCAACTCACAAATGCCTTAGAGTGTGCGACCACTCCTACAGCACGTGCTCCTTGTGTGGCAACTGTTGGGCATTGCCTGCTTTTATAGTCGAGTTGGAGAGTGAGCCTCGACACTCTAGCCCTTAGACAATAATTCGAGATGGCCCTTGACCCTTGATTTTTGTGAGATCCGACATCATACGGTCCAATACGATCGTAATGCTCAATGTATATGAATGGTCCCTGTCGAGCGTGGTGGTTCCGCATAATGCGTAGGGACAACCACATGATCTCGTCCTCGAACTTGCGGTGGATAGACTTGTTCACGACGTCGAACCAATGCGTCTTCCTAAGGGGGCAGACGCCAACCTAACCTAATGCGTTTTCCTTAGGGCGTAACCCTACCTAATGTGCAAAAGGGGAGTGAATCTTCTGCTAGAACACGGGGAGACACACTCCCACTGATATGGGCGGCCATAGGAAAACGCGAATGATAAAGGAGGAAAACAACAACGAAAATAATAGTGAAAAAAAACAAAACAAAACAAAAAAAACA